GGAGGCACTGGTCACAATTTATACTAGCTGAGGTAACCCTGCCAGCCTGTGTGACATCCTGCCAGTTACTGTGTTCACATAAGGTTGAATTTGAACTTAATTTTCCCAAGAATTGTGTGATTTTGTTTAAATAAAATTTCTACAAAAATCAGGAAGCCACAGAAAAGTACTTATTTGCTGTAATCAAAAGTTAATTACTTCACATATGGTAGAGATTGACAGGAGCCGGGGAGAGGTTTTTGAGTGTTCAAGATTGCTAATAGTATTTCTAAGCTAGAACACTTAATTAAATCATACATTTATAAAAGAGGATATCAGTCTAGACCACAGAGATTTATCTCTGAAATCAATATCCATCATTTTATGGCCAGACAAAACTCCCATTCTTAAATATACTGTAATAACAATTATATTAAATTTCTCTTATATGACATGCAATCCATTTGCTCCAAAAGGGACCAAATTTTTATGACCTTTTAACTTGTACTAAGATATAAATTGTCAAAATTAATAATTTGAATTATTAATATGCAAAATATTAATTTTATAGCATTTGAGAAGTTATTTTCTGAATTAAAGATCTTACTGTTAGATACTTTTTCTGTAACAACTCAGAAAAAAAGACTAACTTGGATTTTTCCTGGTCTGGTCACTATACAACAGGGATTATTTTTGCTCATTGCATTTTTAAGGAAAGATTTTATCAAATTATTTATCTTATAATAACAGAACAAAGGAACAATTTATTCTGTTTCTTCTTGTACCTGACCTTTCTGCCCATTTAAAAAAAGAAATCATTAATACATAAATGCAGAATTTGGATCTTTCACAAAAAATAGACTGAAATGCTTATAAGTATTTTAAACAGCATTTGAGGGTTTAAATAGATAGGGTTATACACACACACACACACACACACACAAACCATCTAAAAGAACAAAATAAGGATTTCTGAATACTTTCCTGTTCCTCTGTGAAACTGCAAAGAATAATCAAGTAACATTCTACTGAGTATGTACCTTCATCAGGATTTTAATTACCACATATGAATCCCATGAGATACAAATGCATTCCAAGGCTGTTTATAGAATATAGCTTTTATTAGGGAATTTTTCCACACATAATGGTTGACACTGGACTTTCCCCCCCTACCCCCTCTGAAGTTCATCAAAGTTAGGAGATAAAAGCCCATGCAAAAGAATGCAGACATAGTTTTTTATAAAGAAGGCAGATGTCTCCTTGCTATCTTCAGTTTTATATATGAGATATTGTCAAGACTTTGGACACAAAACAAGGAGGGCTGCTTCAGAATGATACAAGGGGAAGGCTAGAGCATAGCAAGAGAAGAGCTGAGTATGGTCTAAGAACAATGTTATATAGAGATATTTCATGAAAATAACTGAGGAATTTAGTTCAATTACCTGAAATGTTACAGATCTCAGTGTGAACCATAGAGCAGAAAGTGCTGCCTAACTGTTTTTTGACTGGATCTGAGGACGTTTTCTTTTTAAGCAGCATGTGTGTAGTTTTTTTCTAATAGTAATGGCTTAAGCAGAAAGAAACTGAAAACTCGCTTACATGCTTTGCTTATTGATTTAATAAGAATTATCTTTTGACTGAAAAAATAATCTTATTTTTCTTAACTAGATAAAAAACCATCCAAGTGTCTTGAAGTCTAAATCCTTTTAGAGGTAGGTGATATACTGTATTAAGCCATTTGTAAGATTTTACACATTAATGATTTCAACAAGAGATTTGTATGGTAATTTTGTAAACACAAATGTGGGGGAAATAAATTGTTGATTAAGTAAAGGAATAGGATACTCCAAAACTGGGTGGAGACCTATGTACATGAATATGTGACTGGTTCAGATAATAAAAGAACATGTTATTAGAGTGATTTTTTTTTTTTTTCCTCTTTCCCCAATACTATGCCTTCTTTTGTCAGGTAATAATTTTGCTCTAACAAGGACTCTGTGTGGTCAAAAGACTAAAAACTTGCTAATGAGGTTTACTCATTAAAATACTAAAAATTAAAATGCAAGAGGTAGGAGTAGTTTTAAGTAAACCTTCAACTCTGTAGCAGATCTAGTGCAGCTGGTCAAACCTAAGCCTAGGAAAATTAAAAGGTATTAGTTTAGCCTTATTTATTTCTCAAAGTAACCTGAGAGACACTTTTTGTCATGGCATGTTCTATTCCCTTCCCATTTGAAATTTTTGGACGAAATGTTATCATGGTTATAGGTCTCAAAGAAAGCTATTTTTTAAAGCAGGTTCACACTTTGAAAACTATCCAACATAGTACTGGATGTGCTTTTCCCATTTTGAAGTCCCTGTCTATTGTCAGATCAGCTGGAGTGCTGTACGCAGTGCTGGACATGAATCCTCCACTGCCAGGAGTATCCCTTTGTCTTCTGCATCTGAAGATGTTAATGCTAAACCTTTCCAACTTGGTGGGGCTTGAAATGACCCTGTGAACAGATTCCATCTCTTCCTTAATGCAGGCTAGGAACAAGGGCCAACACTGCTTAGACTTATGTCCAGGTTCCTGTGGGCTCCCTGCATAGAGTCAAATATAGGGGAGAAGATGAAGTAAAAGTGTTTATGTATGTGTTTAACTCCAGTGCTTCATTTTTTTTCCCTTAGGTGGTGTTAAAATGATAATGGATGAATACAGGACTTCCTCCCTGAAAGGTAAATGTGTGAGAATTTGCTACTCATGGTACTTTACTAAGTTCCCACTGCTCAACAGCTACTCAAACTGAGAAACAGTGAAAATACTTTTGTGAAAAGACACTTCTTGATCCTAGTGGATTTGAGTCATGATCTGACTGTGGTTGCTTGGCATGACATCAGCAGAGAAACAGCTTGTGTTTCAGTTGATTGAACTTCCAATCTTACCTGCTCCCCCAAAATAGTATGTGGTTGTTCTGTGGTGTGGGAGAGGACAAGTGGCCTTCTAATACTGCAATGGTCATAGTTTTATGAGAGAGTGTGATGCTTTAGCAACAAAATGCATACTTTAGTATTTTATACACTGATTTCTACATCTACAGGGATCTAATGCAATGTTTATCTTAGTTTTTTATACAGAGTAACTTCTGAAATGAAGACAACTAGTTGTAAATGCTACTGTTAATATTTTTAAAAAGCAGAAGTTAAATATGGATGCTGAATGAAGCAGTGCATGCTTCAATATGACATAATACAAGCCCTATAATTCAAAGAGACATACAAAACCTGAGCCAAGAATTGATCCAGTGAAGCCAGCCTCTGTTCATCAGTTTTAAGGTAGAAACTATTAAATACTTGGAAATGCTTCCACTATGAAGCCATGGGCAATTTTAATTTCAGACTTTTCCAATATCCCAAGTCAAACCTTGGAATTTTTCTCTAAACTTCACAAAGGCACAGTGCACAGAGACAGTCAGCAATGAAAAATTACTTATGAGCAATTCCCAACCCTCCAAAAGAGACAAACACATCAGATTTGGTACATTTTAATTAAGGTAATCATCACCACATTTGACATTTTCTTAAGGCTAAAAAATACCATAGTATGATTAAGTCTAGATTTTCTGACATAGAATAATTGTAGAAATTGCCTAACATGAGAGACAGAATATTTCATTGTCTCCCTACTCTGAGGCAGCTGAAAGGCTGTTCTTTAAAATTCACAGATCGTGAGGCGATACTGATTGCATTTTTTGTCATTCCATCTTCCATCAGTGTATATTTCTACACATTTTTCTGTTCCTTTGCCATTAGGCTCGTATTGGTGCCAGTTAGTATAATTCAGAGGTTTGCCATTTATATACTCAAACCGATCTGAAGTCTCACCCTCTTTAATGCCCAAATAAGCGTATCGGTTATACTGTTTCACAATACTCAAAATAGCTTTATTCTCCTCCTCGTTTGTGGGAGCTGCAAGAGTCCCTCCGGCCTCTTCACAGGATTCCAGTGCAGATGCAAAATCAACTTCCTTCCCATTGCTGGCAAATATTTTCTCTCCTACTTCTTTTATTTTCCCATTCAAAGCAAGTACTAAAACATGAAAAGAAAAAGCCAAGTCAGCTCTTTAAATTTGCTATGGCATATTGATGAGAAAGAAATAAAGAGAAATCAAGAAATTAAGAGAAAATTAAAAGTGGTAAGAGGAACAGAGGAGTTAATAGACAACAAGAATGAGAGTAAAGGATGAAGAGAAATAAAGATCTTCAAAATTTTACCAATTCACTAGTTGTTCACTAAGTATTTTGTTATGCTGCTTGTGATGATCTGTCATAGTCTTCTCCAAGACAAGGATGCACCACTAACATTTGCTACACATACTATCAGCTCTATTATATTGTGTGTAGTCTCTAAAAAGGATCAATTTGCTTCAAATTTGAGCAAGTGAAACAGAGAAATTATAATTTTTGTGAATTCCTTCTCAGTACAAAATTATTTACCACCTTTAATCTGGTTGCTGATAGATAAAAATGCTAGCAATTTGGCATAAGGCTGAGGAGTTCCTATGAATCCATGTGGGAAGTGCAACATCATTTGGAATATTTTTTTTAATCAAATTTGAATAGATGCACATTAGTGTTCCTGAGAAAAATCTGCTTCTGCAGGGAAAATTAGTCCTGATTTCCCCTGCTTTGGATGAGTTTTGGGATGTAGTACCATTTTTAAGTGCGATTTCTTTCCTGCAAGTCATGATTCTAGTACTGATTTTGCCTGTTTCACTGAAAACTGATTGTGAGCTTAAAATGTAAAAATGTGAAAAATTACCTCCTTCAAGTCGGGAAAGTCGGTGTTTCAAATTCAATAAAACAAGTTGAGCGTCCAGAGACTCAAGTAGACCTACATAGATTAAAAAAAAATGTTATACAATCAAGAAAAACTAGGCTTTGCTAATAGGAACGATTCTTTGGATAAAACTAACTAGTACACAATGTTTGTTTGTTAAAAAAAATAATCTGGCATAAAATAAATATTTTCTCAGTATTTTTTTACACTTTTGTTAATCTATATTAAAGCAAACAAAAACCTCCAAACCTTTGAAATGCTGGTAATTTCCCTCTGCAGAGAAGAAAATATTTTTTCTAGGTTGAAGCCTTATGTTTCATGTGTCTGTGAAAGTGGATTTACCAAAGAGAATTTACTGCATTCTAATAATCATTAGTGAACAGGCACAAGGGAGACTTTGGGGAGGAAACAGTTCCTGTGGCACCATACTGTTTCTTTTTAGTCTGCTGGGTGGATATTTTGTGTTTTCACAGCAGGATCTTATTTTAATGGAAACCATAAACACTGGCATAGGAAAGTTTCTGCATAAATTGTGTGAAATACAGTCCATCCGGCACTGCTTGCTAAAAAAGGGAACTCAATGTAAAGGTAGATAGTTTTTTTTTTATTACAAATTTCCATGGTTAACAAAGGTCCTGCATGTAGAATAAAGTTACTAGTGTGCTCCCATTTTTAACAACTAAAACAAATGGGAATGTAGAAGCAAAAAATATCCCTCCTGCATCTCTCTCTCTCTGAGTTGCAATGCTACAATCACAGAATCACAGAATGTTGGGGGTTGGAAGGGACCTCGAAGGATCAGCTAGTCCAATCCCCCTGCTGGAGCAGGAACCTAAATGAGGTCACACAGGAAGGTGTCCAGTCGGGTCTTGAATGTCTCCAGAGACTGAGACTCCCCAACCTCCCTGGGCAGCCTGCAACTCTTACTGTACGTCACAGTTGGTAAAAACCAACATATTTGACCCAATAAAGAGAGTCCGTTTGACTGACAGAACATTACAAGGACATCAGCCTTTTTCACATGGTAGTCTAGTATCCCCTTTTTCTCCTTTCTCACCTTGCAGCCAAGGAAGACTATTTCTTCCAGGGGACCCCATCAGGCTTCTAGAGGGTCCTAGGAGACCTGGAAAACAGAAGCATAATTTTCTTTCCAGCTAATGCATATTCTGGATTAGCTGGAAAGCATATTCTGGGAATTTAAAAAATAGAACTTAATCTCAATCTGAAACATGTTAGATCTATGACAAATTTTGATAGTGCTTTAGCCTTGGTAATGGACCTGCAGAAAACATTTCTACATAGAAAGAAAATTTAAATATTGACAACCTGTTCATTTCCCTTCTTATCACGGAAAAAACAGGAGGCCTATTTTTTAGAAAAAAAATAAACAACTATTTCCGCCATTCAGTTTTCCCTCCTCTGCTTAGTGCAGCTGCCTCCTTGAGGGCACATGTCTTTCTGTGTTAACTCTCTTTATTAATGCAGCCTTCATGACAAGGATTTGTTGTGAAAAAGGGAAGTTTACTTACCTGGTAGACGTGACTGCCCTTTCAGACCATCTCTTCCAGGCAGTCCAGGGACACTAGGTAGCCTGGGAGTTCCTGGAAGTTTCTGCAGTGCATGGCAAGTCACTAGCAAAGCAGCTAGTGCTGTGAGCATGTAGGATGAGTAAAACAACATGATTCCTCAGGCCAGCTGCAAGAAAACCCACATATTTTTCAGGTAATGATTCTGTAAGAAATTGTAGGCATTGGTTTATATAATTGAGCACACTTTTCTTCCCTTCCCCCCCCAAATTTACTTTATATCCTTGTTTATGGTTTAAGTATAAGAGATTTCCCAGATTTATTTTGCTACCATTGCCTGGCTTATACAGAAAAGTGTTTCTATACAGATACAGATTGGTATGCTCATTACAGAATGTCAACTACACTCTTGGGAGTAGTGAAGAGAAATCATCCTTTTTGCTATCACTGACTATTTGTTGGATTACTCCTTGAGAAATGATGGGCTCAGATGTAACTGATCACACTTCAGTCATTAGTTTTCTGTAAGGGCTATAATCAGTCAATGAGACATAGATGCATATGCCATCAACCTGAAAGGCACAATCTGTTACAGTGGTTGTTGTGATGGTTTGGAGCTAGTTACCAATTTCTTTTAGTGTAGTTCTATTTAAGCACATTTATTTGAAATAAGCAGACTGATAGTGTTTTATACATGGGCTAAATTTTATAGCTCAATTGACATTTGTATCTTGTTTTGAACAAAATTATACAAGCTTAAAAAAATCAGAAGAAGAAAATGCAGTTTTGCTGGTTGGCAACAGGCCTATTCATCTTGTTTTATCTTTTGCGATGCAATGTTAAGTAGCGTTACAATCTCAGTACCAAGATATAACTAAAAAGCACTCTGAAACTATATGTCATGGTTTTACAATGCAGCTAGTGGGTATGCAGCACTGGTAACGTTGTGCAGTTATAAAATCTGAAATAATGGACTATAGGATGCTATGGCATGGAGATATCTTGTTATTGGTACCATTCATTTAAAATAATGAGAGCTAAAGAAAGGTTCAAAATGACAGATCTCTTTCTAGTGAGATCACCCTGAGATCAGTTAACTCTCATTCAAAACATAATACTCATGACTTTACTTTTCTCTTGGCACAAATTAGAGAGGATCATGTACTAAACTCTCTTAACTTCCATCCTTAAAGTTCAGAATTGGCATATCATTTTCTAAATCCAGCTTCATTTACTTAAAGTTGGGAATAAAATCAATTGGCTTGAATGTTGCAAGATTAATACCTGGGTTCATCAGTTAAAACAAGGAATTTGTTTCAAAGCATATATGCCAAGCAGAATCAAAATATCAGCTTATTATTACCATTTATTAAATGGATAAACTAAAACTGGACTAAGCTTTTAAAAAAAAGGAAGTATATTTTACATCTTCCAGACTGACTATCATAGAAAGCTTTTGACATTATTCTACATCTGCAGTAATACAAACTATTTTTAAGGGCAAAGTTCATTTTTTTTAGAAAAAAACCTTTGTTTTTTCATCAAAATTAATTCAGTGGGATATACCCTTGAACATAAAAATATTCAATTATGTCATAAATTTCAGCATTTCACTACATATAGAATCTGTTTAACAGCAGCGTCTGGTACTCATGGTCAAGAATTTCCACTTTAATGAATGGAAATTTCAAACCCACCTGAGAACACACATGCTGTATTAAAAGTAATGTTGAGTTTTGTGTGTCAAATCTGAAATGTTTCAACTTGTTTACCCTTTACTGCATTGAAGGCTAGCAGACAACTCTGATAATGCTGGCCAATGGCTCAGAGAACAGATTATTAAAGTCTCTAATAGAAACCTACCCTAGGTGGCTAGGAATCCTTATGTCCCTGAGATAAGGAAATACAATTACAACAGGTACTCTTCATCTGGTGCTGATCATTCAGGGAATTACATTTAAATGGACAATTGCATCCAGCTTGTTATTGGATTATGTTACAGAGTCAGAGTCCTAATCAGTTATACAGCAAAATGGAAAAAAACCCCATATCTGCAGTTTTAATCTGGTTTTAATGACCTTCATCAGTCATTACAAACTGGTGTCCTTCAGGCATCTCCTCATCTAGCAAAATTGCTAGTATAAGCAAAGTAAAAAAATACTAATAAAGGAAAATTTAATTTTAAAATGTAAATATGACCCCAGAAATTAAAAGGAACAGTTTTGCTTTCTAGCTGAAGTTCCCCGTAATTTATTAGAAGGAAATTCAACTTACCCCTCCGATTCAAAGCAAAATGAAAGAGCAGTTTGCACAAGTCCCCTTTATATAGTGTCATGTTTGTTAAATGACACCACTGAAGTGGAGACTGGATAATGAGGGCACAAATAAGCCTTTTTACTTTTACTTACATATTTGTTGTGCAAATACTGAGAATAATTTTAAGGGTTGAGAAATTTCTTTTTCTTTTATAAGACTAGAAAGCCAAAGTTGGAGAAAAATCAATCTAGAACTAACAGATAACTCCAGATTTGTAGGCACATACAAAATGTATAAAAATTTAAAGAAATTTTTGGTAATTCTAAGTGATACTGTAACAATTTTTCTTGTTTTAAAAAAGAAAAAAGGGCACATGACCACCTGTGGCTTTTGTAGTTCTCTTATTAATTAGGGAAGCCTAATCAGACAGGGTCTGATCTTATAATCAGAATTCTAAACTTTGCTTCCCATCTATGTATTTTATGTATTTAATATCATTTTCTAGCTGTGTGTACTCCCAATGTTTCTGTGAGCATCTGGTCTCTTTTGAATGTAGATTGCAGCTGATCCTCACTTGTTCAGAGACGGATACAGGAAAAATCTGTATACATGCACAAAATCCTGAAATGGACAACGTTTTCAAGTAAAAAAGGAACCAGAGGCTTTGGTCCTCTGGTTTCCCAGCAATGAAGACTGAGATCTCATGAGTAACTTCTGGTTCTGATGCCTTCTACTGTGTGGACGTTCAGGTTTGGTCGTAGCTGAGGTTTATTTTATAAACCTCAGCTAGGTCCAAGTTTATTTTATAAACACAAGCCAACACATCAGTCCCTCACCTGTAAGACAGAAATATCTCTGCTTTACAGCTTTTCCATTTTGCCAGTTTACACTGTGGTACATTAAGGGTAGAATGGTTTCTGCTTTTCATTTGCATTTTGCTAAAACTATTTAAGTTTTGTCATGATCCCTAACAATGGTGCCTTTCTACCCAGCAAAATTCACAGCTGCAAGCTAATATCTTTAGGCTCCTTGTTCAACAAATAAAAAGATGTCTAATGTCAACTGTGTGATCTAGCTAAGAGAAAATACCAAAGGAGGAAATATGCTTAAGATCCTCTTTGGAAATAACTTAGTCACTTAAATATACTTCCCTTCACAACTGTGAGCCTTGTCCTGCAGTTAAAAGTGCTCAGCATGGTCTATCCTCCATCACAAAAAAAACCCCCAAAACCAAAAAACACTCAGAAATATGTTATAAGCAACCTATCTTCAAGTCCTACTACCTGATGTGCTGCAGAGCTCTGAATGCAGGTTAGTACTTTACAAAACCTCTAAGCCCACCAGTTGAAACTATTTCCTTCTGTAGTCCAAATGAGGTAGACGAAAATAACTGGTGTGAAGTATAAACGATGCAGATTATCTAGTACCCAATAGGTAAAATAGCTTGTTTCTGCATCCTGCTGTAATTTGGGAACAGCACAGGCACCAGGCAACTCAGCACAGTCAAGACATGGGTAATTCTGAATGGCAGCAGAACTCTGGCATACCTACAGCTTTAAGAAATTTCTGCAGTTGCAAGATGAGATGGAACTTAATGGATCCAGATTTAGGGAAGTAATATGTAATATAATTAGGTGACCGCGTTCTTGGGAATGTAACTGAACAGAACACAGTCTCCTATCAATCCAGTTTCTAGGCAACTCTGCAACAGTTGTAATGGTTAATACTGTTCTGTGGTATCACTGACCATCTACATCCTCCCCACACACATATGTGCAAATTTAATACATGAACAACATGATCAATCTTTGCAGATTTGTAATATTTCTTCCACCTAACACAGTTTATGCTTGAAAAAAAAAAATACACAAATGAAAACATTAATCAGGGTAATCAGTAAAGCCCCACCAGCTACATACACTCTTGTCCATTCAGAAAAGCACGGTATGAGAAAAATATGGTTTATAATGGCTTAAGATATAGAAAAGCTTTATATAAAATTTTATCTTTTGCCAAAGTTTTCATAGAGACGTACATTAGATAGCAGTTCTCCCATGAGTCAGAGTATACTTGCACAATGGAAACTGATAAGAAATCTAAAACATAATCCAAAGTGAGAGGTTACTTAGTCATTAGATTTACTTTCCTTAGCTATGTGGCAGAGAATTAGGGAAAACAAATACACTAGAATAAGGAAGAAAGTAAGTAAATATTTTTTCTGCAACCTGGCACCCCTGAGGTTTGGTATTCTGAAATCTACACATAAACCTGTGTGGCAATGGCTAGAGATCTTTAGCTGGGTAGCACCCACAAAACCCAGCCAGGAAACTATAATGGTTTCAGTGGGCCCCAGACACTGCATCCTTCTTTCTGTCATTAAGTAGCACAGTCAGATTCCTTCTGATGTGCCCTAATGAATTAAATACGCTGTGTTGTTAACGCCAGCTAATTAAATCCAAACTGCACAATGGCCTACTCAACTATTAGCAAAGGAGAACTTGGAAAAAAAGGAAACTGATTTTCAAAGATGCTGTGTACCCAGAAAGACTGCTTCTTTATATAGCAGCCATGCACACCACCCTCAAAAAAGTAATTTGAAGACAACTGCCAAGGTGGTTTCAAAACTAGAACCATTTTATATAGCCTTCAAACCTCTAATTTTAAGAAAACAAAATGAACTCTCCATTTTCTCAGTACACTGTTTTGAAATGAGCTGATTCCTAACAACCTTATCATATTCCAATCTGAATAAAGCTATGCTGCACTCTTTCACATAAAATGCAGTGCTGTACAACCACACTAGTTTATTTTAGCAATCTGTGAGACATTAATCTTAAATGTGTCACTGTGCTGCAATTCTCTGATACCAGCTCTCTGAGCTTGCCCTTGGCACAGCAT